CCTCTGCCTCCCAGAATTCTCCCGCTTTGAAGCCCTGCTTATCCAGGAGAGGCTGTGTGGTGGTGTGCCAAGAGCACAGGGTCTGGACAGACTTTGGTCAAATCCAAGCTCTGCAATGAACTAGCTGTGTGACGTTAGGTGAGACACCCTCTCTAGTCTTGGTTCTTTCATCTGCAGATTGAGGGTAGTCACAACTGCTTTGCAGAGTTGTTGCGAAAACTCGCCAAGATAGCATGCAGAATTTTTATTAATTGTAGCTATTACCATTTTATTTCTAAGAAGAGGAAAGTTACCTCCCCTGGAAAGCTTTTACGTATCCTTCCCCCACCCTGTCCTACAAAATTAAGCACAGCCTCCTCTCTGTTTCATAAATTCTCTCTCCTTGTATTGGCAACATCCACACGCTCCACTGTCACTTTATCAAGGATGAAGTCCCTGACCACCCTGCTTAAAACCTGAGGTTGCCCCTCTCTACACCTTTAATGCATTCCCTGTCTTAACTCTCCTCCATGGTGAGCTCTGCGTGAGCCACAATTTCCATCCATCCGCCGCTGTATCCTCGGCGTCTAGAACAGCATCTGGCACCACGAGGTGCTCTATCAGTGTTTGTTGATTGCATGAACCAATCACTTTGTGTGCCATCAGAAGGTGCCCTGCCCAACTGTTGTAGGGTGAATTATGCTCCCCTAAAATCCATATGTTGAGGTCTTAACCCCTCATGCCTCCGAATGTGACTGTGTTTGTAGATAGGGTAATAAAGGTAATTAATTACCCTAACTCTAAGGTTACATGAGGTCATTAGGATGGGCCCTAATCCGGTATAACTGGTGTCATTATAACAAGAAGAACTTAGGAAACAGACTCCCACAGAGGGAAGACCTCAGATAGACACAGGAGGAAGACAGTCATCTCCCAGCCAAGGAGAGAGGCGCTGAAAGAACCTAACCCTGCTGGCACCTCGATGTCAGACTTCCAGCCTCCGTAACTGTGAGAGAATAAATTCCTGTTGTCTAAAGCCAGCCAGTCTGTGGTACTTTTGTCATGGCAGCCCTAGAGAACTAGTGTACCAGCTACGAACTCCTTGAGGACAGAGCTGTGGCATCTTCATCTTTGTGCCCCCAGCTAGCCACAGGGTTCTGGCTCATACTCATACTCAGTAAGCAATGGTCTACTTGAATTGCATTCCACTCGCCACAGGGAGGATAAAGATGGAAGAAGCGCCTTGTGGTGAAGGGGAGAGCCTTGCAGAGATACCAGAAACGGCCTCTTTGTCAATGTCTATGTAGACTGATCATTCCTCTTTTATATAAACCCTGTCTCTGTCTCTGCAAAAAAAAAAAAAAAACGTATGTATTCCAAGGCAATTCATTCCAAGGCATTGTCATGATGTCATTATGGTTAGGGTTTCTTTGAGGTGCTTAGCAAATGTTGCAATGGATAAAAGGAAAACTGAGTCAAGGTCAAAAACAGGTAAAGGCAGCAAGAGTGTATTTGGAGCTCCGGGTTCCTTTCTGTGTAACATGCTTGTCACGCTCCTAGTTATCCCATGAGGAGCAGGACTTCAGACGGAGAGGGGCAACACAGGAATAGCTGTCTTACCTCTCCTCCCCTCTCTTGGGAACCAGAATCTTAAACAAGGGTGCTCCGTTCTGAGCAACCCCGTGAGTGCAGGGATGTTTCTTGCTCCAGATAAGGATGGTCTGTCTACAGCCATACCACCCTGAATGTACCCGATCTCCTTAGATAGGGGAGATCATCTCCCTACCACTGGGCCCTGGGTGACACAGCCCAAGGGAGAACTCCCTGCTCCCTTTAAGTGTGTTCAGGTTGGCACCGAGATGTGACTGCCCAGTTGAGATCTGCTGAGACGCTGGCCCAGGACAAGAACCACGACTTGCAGCAGGTCTGCTGGGACACGTGCCACTCACTATGGAAGGGACTGTGTTAGAGTTTATTCTTTTTTTTTTTTTTTTTTTTTTTTTTTTGGAGACAGAGTCTTGCTCTGTCACCCAGGCTGGAGTGCAATGGTGTGATCTCGGCTCACTGCAACCTCCACCTCCTAGGTTCAAGCGATTCTCCTGCCTCAGCCGCCCAAGTAGCTGGGATTACAGGTACACGCCACAACACCCAGCTAATTTTTGTATTTTTAGTAGAGACGGGTTTTCGCCATGTTGACCAAGATGGTCTTGATCTCCTGACTTCATGATCCACCAGCCTCAGCCTCCCAAAGTGCTGAGATTAGTGAGCCACTGCGCCCAGCCTAGAGTTTATTCTTAACTTGCATTTTATGTATTCATTCATTCACTTATTTTTCATTTTTGCCAAATTTAACCCAGGCATATCATACCTGAAGACTTTGCTCAAAACACTTTAGCCTTTCATTCCAGCAAGGCCTCATGGTACTGGTCCTCACCTTGCTGGTGCTTCGCAGGCTTTCAAAATGACAGATATCAACATCCTACTGTCCTTCAGACACCCAATCTCTGGTGCCAGGATCATCCCTCCAAAGCCTGTGTTTCTTGTAGCTCCACCAAGAGAACCCTAAGAAATAGATTCTCAAAAGGCTCTGTGTTTTCTCAGCTCTCCTTCTCTATTTTCTTCCTTCCTCTTTTCTTCTTTTTCAACTGCTTTGGTTTGGATTCCTGGTTGCTGAATGAGTTTTAGACGATGCTTTTATTTTCAACCACAGTTTCTGGAACACTGAGAAGTTTCCAGGACATTTTACCACAATTCACCTCATTTTGGGGGCTCACTTGTCAACAGATTTAAGTATTGTGGGTTATGTGGAGTTTCTGTAAGAAAGGTCATTCCTCCTCTGGGTATACTCCTGCCTGATGTCTTTTTCTCTGCAGGAGGAAAGTCTCTTTCCCCCTTTCTTTTGAAAAATTTAACTCAAATGTCCCAAGCCCTTTGGCCAGATGTTCATAGCTGCATAACCACATTCTGCTGTGTCAGTAGTACTCCCCACAGAGCTGTAGCATCTCCTTCCCCTTACAGAGTTCCTGCACTCATGTGACCCCAACATACATGTTCACATGTGTGCACGTATACACACTACTGAGCATTCACAGATTTTAGCATACCTCGTCACTGAGCTGCAGTTCCCAAGCAATAGCCTCGCTGCAATTAATTTAATTTGTAATGCTGGGTACAGTGGCTCACATCTGTATTCCTAGCACTGTGGGAGGTGGAGGCAGATGTATTGCTTGAGCCCAAGAGTTCAAGACCAGCCTGGGCAAAAGGGTGAAACCCTGTCTTTGCAAAAGAAAAAAAAAAAAATTAGGCATGGTGGCTTGTGCCTGTAGTCCCAGCTACTTGGGAGGCTGAGGCAGGAGAATGGCTTGAATCCGGGAGGCGGTGGTAGCAGTGAGCCAAGATCGCACCACTGCACTCCAGCATGGGCAATAGAACAAGACTTCATCTCAAAATAAATAAATAAATAAAACCCTTTCTGCCTTTATGGAGTTTCTGCACTTGAACGGTGCTGTCCAGCAGGACTATGCACAATAATACAAATGTCCTTCACTGTGTCAGACAATAGCCACCAGCCACATTTGCTTCTTGAACACTGGGAATGTGGCTACTATGACTGTGGTACTAAATTTGTAATCTTATTTCATTTTAATTAAACTCAAAGGCCACACGTGGCTAGTGGCTGCCACATTGGGCAGCGTGGTTCTGGAGGGAGACACAAACAATAAAGACGAGTAGACAGACACCTGCTCCTCTTTTAACCACAAAACATTGAAGTATGATGTCAGCTATTGAAAAGTGCCTGAAGAAAGCCACTCAGGGTGAGGAAATGAGCGTGCTGGGGAGGCATTGGTTTGCAGAGGGGTGGCTGTCAGCAAAAGCCTCTCTGTGGGAGGGTGACTTTTCAGTGGAGACCTGAAAACCCAGCTGCTCTCAGGGTGGGATGTTCTGGAAGAGGCGCTGTGAGGAGTGAGGTCCTGACAGAGCCACTAGAGCGTGAAGAGCAGCAGGAGAGGGAGCAGCAGCTGGAGCTTACCAGGTCTTGGTGGTACCATTGCTGGAGATGAACTCTGAAGGCGTGGCAAGTATTTGAGAGGTGAGATCAAGAGTCTGAAGATCGCAGCAGATGGAGGCTGGAGGTGGCAGTTTAGGTGTGGTCAATAAAAAGAAACGGCTGCCCTCTTCTGTGGTTGGCCCCTGTTCTCGCCTCACCGCTGCCTGAGGGGCCCGCATGCCACTGCTGATAAATTTGACCAGCCTACAAGTGCCAGTACTTTCATCTTAGAGGGGCCAGTTTCTGGGTTCACAAGGAGGAGGTGCTGCTCTCCCCAGCCCTGCCCAAATGCATCACCTGAGCCCCTAAGCAGGCGGGCGTGGACCCAGGCTTTCAGAATTGTTTGTGAAAATCACCTTTTTGCCCTCTCTTCAGTGGGATTCAAACCCAGGCCCATGGGAGGAGCCAGAGATGATATGCTGTCTCCTGCGTTCCCTTCCCTTTCCTTCCTTTCCTGGAGGTCAGAGACCTTTGCTTCAAAACATGTCTCCTGCCCCTTTAGCCCTTCAGCTCTCCAGCCTGGGTTCTGGGTTCTGTTAACCTAATAAGCAAATTGTTCCTGTGCTTCCAAATCATCATTTGTTTAATGCAGTTCCAATCAAAATTCTAATTAATTTTATTTGGCAGGTGATATTGACTCATGAGACTAGATTATCAAAATAACCAAGAGCTGTTTTGCAAAAAGAAAGAGTTATGAGGAGGAATTCTACTAGATGTAAAAATGTACTCAGAACATACAAAACTGCTTTTGGAAGCAAGGTGTAAGTGCAGTACTCAATAACTAGATCAATACACAGATTAGATAACCCAAAACCAACCCTAGTAGATATAAAGTTTGTGTATGATAAAGTAGGTTTCTCAAAAATTAGTCATAATAATACATGCTGCTGAGATGGTTGGTAACTCTCAAGAAAAATGGTTAGAATTGTGTCTTACAGCTTAACCCAAGATCAATACCAGATGAGTTAAATAAAAAAATATAGTTAAGGTCCCCGCCGCCGAGACCAAGATGGCCGCAAGACTCGGCGCCTTCCTCAAGAATGCTTGGGCCAAGGAGCCAGTACTGGTCGTGTCCTTCTTCATCGGGACCCTTGCTGTAATTCTGCCCCCAATCAGCCCCTACTTCAAGTACTCTGTCATGATCAACAAGGCCACACCCTACAACTACCCAGTGCCTGTCCGCGATGATGGGAACATGCCCGACATACCCAGCCACCCCCAGGACCCCCAGGGGCCCAGCCTGGAGTGGCTGAAGAACCTGTGAGCACCTCCACTGACCAAGGCCGGCCCTCTCTCGGCTCCCAATAAAAATGTGAAAACCAAAAAAAAAAAAAATATATATATATATATAGTTAAAACAGTTTTAAGAAAATGTAGATTAATATATTTCAGCCATCAAGACTTTCTAAATCTAAAATTACAATAAAACAAGCTACAAGAGAAACAGGTAAATTTATGAACTAAAAGTTAAAATTTCAATATATTAAACATTAACAATATATATAATATGCACACCTAAAAGGCAAATGATAGGGCCAGGCGCGGTGGCTCATATCTGTAATCCCAGTACTTTGGGAGGCCAAGACAGGCAGATCACCTGAGATCGTGAGTTGGAGACCAGCCTGACCAACATGGAAAAACCCCATCTCTGCTAAAAATACAAAATTAGCCAGGCATAGTGACACATGCCTGTAATCCCAGCTACTTGGGAGACTGAGGCGGAGAATTGCTTGAACCTGGGAGGCAGAGATTATGGTGAGCTGAGATTGCGCCATTGCACTCCAGTCTGGGCAACAAGAGCGAAACTCCGTCTCAAAAAAAAAGAAAGAAAGGTAAATTATAAACTGGGAAAAGTTTTGCAATAAACATAGTAAAGGATTAGTATTATTTATGTAAGGAGAATTCTTGCAAATTCGTAATAAAAACCACTGAACACCAAGCTATAAAAATGACATAAGCAGACAATTCACAAAAGAATATAAATAGTGAACAAATCTTTGAAAACAGTTCAACCTTATTGTCAATCAAGAAAAGCATAAAGGCATATTAAAACAGTTTTCTTGGCCAGGCAAGGCTCACGCCTATAATCCCAGTACTTTGGGAGGCAGAGGCAGAAGCAGGTGGATAGCTTGAGCCCAGGTGTTGGAGACCAGCCTGGACAACATGGCAAAACCCCGTCTCTACTAAAAATTAAAATAAAAGGATTAGCTGGGCATGGTGGTGGGTGCCTGCAATTCCAGCTACTTGGGAGGCTGAGGCAGGAGGATTGTTGGAGGTGGAGGAGATGGAGTTGGCTGTGAGCTAGAATTGTGCCCCTGCACTCCAGCCTGGGCGACAAAGCCAGACTCTGTCTCAGAAACAAACAAAAATCCAAAAAACTGTCTTTCCCTATCTAATCAGCAAGGCTTTTTAACATTAGCATTTTACATAGGCTGGATTGTGAGTCAAGCCCTCTCCTCCACTACCAAGGAAAGGCCAACTGAGGCCAAAACTCTGCCATATGGGTCAAGAGAACCACTTCTAGGCATCCATCCAAAGGTAGTTATCAGAAATAAGGATTAAGGATATTCACTGCAGTTTTGTTGATAAGAGCCAAGAACTGGAAATAAATGTCCAGCAAAAGTCCAATGGCTATAAAAAAAGGATGAGTTCATGTCCTTTGCAGGGACGTGGATGAAGCTGGAAGCCATCATTCTCAGCAAACTCCCACAGGAACAGAAAACCAAACACCGCATGTTCTCACTCATAAGTGGGAGTTGAACAGTGAGAACACGTGGACACAGGGAGGGGAGCAACACACACTGGGGCCTTTTGGGGGGTGGGGGGCAAGGGGAGGGAGAGTGTTAGGACAAATACCTAATGCATGCGGGGCTTAAAACCTAGATGACAGGTTGATGGGTGCCGCAAACAACCATGGCACGTGTATACCTGTGTAACAAACCTGCACGTTCTGCACATGTATCCCAGAACCTAAAGTAGAAAAATTTTTTTAAAGTCCAGTGTCTGAACACATCATGTGTGGTATACTCCTACAACATAATAACATGCATTGTAAGGATATACCACACATGATGATTTCGTCATGTGATGAAATAATGATTTTTAAAATCATTATTTTGCTCACTATTTATGGAAACAGGGAACTGTTCATGTGAATTAAACTATAAAACTACAATATTGGCGGGGGGGGCGATTGCTTTTTTAATGCTTTTCTGCATTTTCTGGATTTTCTGTTGTGATTTTGCTTTTATGATACATAAAATGTTCATATCTGTTTCCTAGCGCCTGAATAAATTTCACTTGCCAGCCCCAGGGAATCATCTTGCTTCTGAGGTACCATACATAAAAACGGCTTACAAGGCCACCATCTGCGACATTCCCTCTCACCACTTCAGAAGATTTTAGTACCTGTCTACCTTTCCTGTATTCCTTTGTCTCTAAACATGAAATGGTGACCCTCACCCATGTTTACTTGGGTTGGCCGTGTGTTCACCTCCTTCCCAAACAAAGGAAGAGAAGAAGAACATGACCTTTCATGTTTGTAAATACTTTCCCACCATCTGGGCATACATAGGTGTTGGGTGCCCGTTGGGATGGGTCATGGGAGCCACTCATAAGGAAGTGCCAGTTCCTTTTGCATTGTAAAGAGACACTGAACCTTGTCTTTGTTCTTGTCCACAGATACGATGTTTCCTGATATGTTTAGTGTTTGGTGCCATTGCAATTTTCCGTGCTGAAATCATTCTGAAAACTCAAACAGTAGACTTCAGCATACGAGGAAAGCCAAAGCCATTTGAGGGGGAATAAAGCCAAAAGCCTTTCATCTTATTCGTTCCAAGAATCTCACTGCCCCCTCTCCACTCCCTTCCAAAAATAAGCCATTGCACCCAGACAGACAGCATGGCTAGCAAACGGAAATCTACAACTCCATGCATGGTTCGGACATCACAAGTGGTAGAACAAGATGTGCCCGAGGAGGTAGACAGGGCCAAAGAAAAAGGAATCAGCACACCACAGCCTGACGTGGCCAAGGACAGTTGGGCAGCAGAACTTGAAAACTCTTCCAAAGAAAATGAAGTGATAGAGGTGAAATCTACAGGGGAAAGCCAGTCCAAAAAACTCCAAGGTGGTTACGAGTGCAAATACTGCCCCTACTCCACACAAAACCTGAACGAGTTCACAGAGCATGTCGACATGCAGCATCCTAACGTGATTCTCAACCCCCTCTACGTGTGTGCAGAATGTAACTTCACAACCAAAAAGTACGACTCCCTGTCTGACCACAACTCCAAGTTCCATCCTGGGGAGGCCAACTTCAAGCTGAAGTTAATTAAACGCAATAATCAGACTGTCTTGGAACAGTCCATTGAAGCCACCAACCATGTTGTGTCCATCACCACCAGCGGCCCTGGAACTGGTGACGGTGATCCTGGGATCTCGGTGAGTAAAACCCCCATCATGAAGCCCGGGAAACCGAAAGCAGATGCCAAGAAGGCTCCCAAGAAGCCCGAGGAGATGACCCCTGAGAACCATGTGGAAGGGACCGCCCACCTGGTGACAGACACAGCTGAGATCCTCTCAAGACTCGGAAGCGTGGAGCTCCTCCAAGACACATTAGGACACGTCATGCCTTCTGTACAGCTGCCACCAAATATCAACCTTGTGCCCAAGGTCCCCGTCCCACTAAATACTACCAAATACAACTCTGCCCTGGATACAAATGCCACGATGATCAACTCCTTCAACAAGTTTCCTTACCCCACCCAGGCGGAGTTGTCCTGGCTGACAGCTGCCTCCAAACACCCAGAGGAGCACATCAGAATCTGGTTTGCCACCCAGCGCTTAAAGCACGGCATCAGCTGGTCCCCAGAAGAGGTGGAGGAGGCCCGGAAGAAGATGTTCAATGGCACCATCCAGTCAGTACCTCCGACCATCACTGTGCTGCCCGCCCAGTTGGCCCCCACAAAGGTAACGCAGCCCATCCTCCAGACGGCTCTACCTTGCCAGATCCTCGGCCAGACTAGCCTGGTGCTGACTCAGGTGACCAGTGGGTCAACAACCGTCTCTTGCTCCCCCATCACGCTTGCCGTGGCAGGAGTCACCAACCACGGCCAGAAGAGACCCTTGGTGACTCCCCAAGCTGCCCCGGAGCCCAAGCGTCCACACATCGCTCAGGTGCCAGAGCCCCCACCCAAGGTGGCCAACCCCCCGCTCACCCCAGCCAGTGACCGCAAGAAGACAAAGGAGCAGATAGCACATCTCAAGGCCAGCTTTCTCCAGAGCCAGTTCCCTGATGATGCTGAGGTTTACCGGCTCATCGAGGTGACTGGCCTTGCCAGGAGCGAGATCAAGAAGTGGTTCAGTGACCACCGATATCGGTGTCAAAGGGGCATCGTCCACATCACCAGCGAATCCCTTGCCAAAGACCAGCTGGCCATCGCAGCCTCCCGACACGGTCGCACATACCATCCGTACCCAGACTTTGCCCCCCAGAAGTTCAAAGAGAAAACACAGGGTCAGGTTAAAATCTTGGAAGACAGCTTTTTGAAAAGTTCTTTTCCTACCCAAGCAGAACTGGATCGGCTAAGGGTGGAGACCAAGCTGAGCAGGAGAGAGATCGACTCCTGGTTCTCCGAGAGGCGGAAGCTTCGAGACAGCATGGAACAAGCTGTCTTGGATTCCATGGGGTCTGGGAAAAAAGCTCAAGATGTGGGTGCCCCCAACGGTGCCCTGCCTCGACTTGACCAGCTCTCCGGTGCCCAGTTAACCAGTTCTCTGCCCAGCCCTTCGCCAGCAATTACAAAAAATCAAGAACAGGTTCATCTTCTGAGGAGCACATTTGCAAGAACCCAGTGGCCTACTCCCCAGGAGTACGACCAGTTAGCGGCCAAGACAGGCCTGGTCCGAACTGAGATTGTGCGTTGGTTCAAGGAGAACAGATGCTTGCTGAAAATGGGAACCGTGAAGTGGATGGAGCAGTACCAGCACCAACCCGTGGCTGATGATCACGGCTATGATGCCGCAGCAAGGAAAGCAACAAAACCCATCGCCGAGAGCCCAAAGAATGGGAGTGATGTGGCTCCGCAATATTACAAGGACCCCAAAAAGCTCTGTGAAGAGGACTTGGAGAAGTTGGTGCCCAGGGTAAAAGTAGGCAGTGAGCCAGCAAAAGACGGTTTGCCAGCGAAGCCCTCAGAGGCCACCTCAGACCGGTCAGAGGGCAGCAGCCGGGACGGCCAGGGCAGCGACGAGAACGAGGAGTCGAGCGTTGTGGATTACGTGGAGGTGACGGTCGGGGAGGAGGATGCCAACTCAGATAGATCAGATAGCTGGAG